TAATTCAGAACATTGTTATTTAAACGCCATTCATGTTAAAAGGGAGATGAAATGAAATTCACTTCATTTTTCAGAGGTCTCCAAATAGCCATGAAAAATCAATTTTTTCCTGCCACCAATTAATGTCAGCCCCTCTTGTGGCTTTAGGTGGATGCCATGGTGATGATGTAGGGAGAAGCCTACGGGGCTCAATGGTGCTACCAGACTATGGAGCGGGGAGTGAGAAGCCCAGCCTGTATCCTGGGCATCCAGGCTGACTCACTGGGTGTCCACCTGGACCCCAGCCCAGGTAGCATGCTCAGGACTGTGGGAAAGATTATATGTGGTTGCCGTGTGGCTCCTACTTGTTGGTGAACACTCACAGCACCAGGTGTGAGAGCTGCAGCAGACCCTCTGCTCTGATCCCCAAGGCCCTGCACATCTGGGTGTTCCATGTGATCCCCAGCAGCAAGTTGGAGACTGGCCGTTTTGGGTTTGAGAGAACACTGCTTGCCCTAGGTGTGTTCCCTCCAGCCTTGGTGGCCTCCAGGTAGGCAGGCCTGAGGCTCCTATGTCCAGGGCAACTGGTTCCCTCAGCTGTAAACCTGAGCTTGTGGAGGTGCCTTGAGTTCTCTTTCTGGCTGGGAAAGCTCACAGCATTCTCTGAGCCGCAGCAGGTCACAACCGTGAATTGTGTGCATACCATAACCCTGTTCTCATGGCTTAGGTACAACCTCCCAACACCTCTTCCTACCTGCTTTTGGCATTCTTGGGAATCGTGCCACCATTTTTGCTCTCCCTTGTGTTCCCACGTGGTCCTTACTGCCACAGCCGATCCCACACATGGGGCCTCCCTTCCTGGTGGCCAGGCTGCCTCCTTAAGTTCTTCAAACTCCCTCTGCCCCTGCAGACCTGCCTAGCCTAGGTTCCCCATTCTTGTCTCAGTGTACCTGGTAAACTGCTCCCTCCTTCTGACTTGGCACCTCCTTTAGGAAGCCTTCCTGTGCTCCTCAGGCTATCAGCCCCTGACTAAGGCTCCCATTAATCTTACTGTTACCTCCTGAGCTCCTACCTTGGTCACAATTGCATAGTTCATACAGTCAGATCACCGTTCAATAGATATCTGTCGAGCACCTATGGAGTGGCAGACACTATTCTTTGTGCTGGAAGTACAGAGCAGGTCAGCTAGGATGACTCTGGTAGCAGAGCACAGGAGTTCCTTAGCTCAGCACACCGACTTGAAACACCTTAAGCACTTCTTGTCTCACCCATGTGTAGTAGCAGGGCACAGTTGGGGGACTCAGTGCTTACAGCTTTGGTGTTCCCATCTCTCAGGGATCTCTGATCCCTCACCTTCCCCCACCTGATGTTCACCTTGTGCTGATCTGGCCTCAGCCTCAAGTTGGTCTCCTGCCTGGACTTTGAATCAGGAGCTGGTAAACTGGAAGCAGGGAAGCAGAGCATGAGGGTGGCCATGCTGCCACATCCTGTTTCCAAGGCAACAGTGTCAACAGTGCCAGTCACCATGTCTGATGTCCTGGTTGGCCTCACAGATGTTTCCTGAGGTTCCATTTTGGCTCAGGTTGAATAGTGGCCAGTCATGGTTCCTACTGTTTTCTGGGCCTGCTCCTCCAGCCTTCCCAGAAGTCCTGTGAGTTTGGGAATAGCCTTTCAGTGAAGTGCCTTTGTACTTGAAATTGGGTGGGATCGGCCTCTGCTGCGTACCAGTAAGAGCACTTCCTGTCACTGGCACTGGTGGTGGTCTTGCCCCAACTGAGCACTGAGCCCAGGCCTCCTGCCTCCAGCCCTGCTGGGAGATAGGCCTTAGCTGGGCCCTGGATGGGTTAGTGATAGAAAACATGGCTTCATCGTGAGTTGCGTCTGAGATAAGGAAAAGTCAACTGGGTTCTTTGCTATAAGACCACTTGCAGACTTTAAGTTACTTCCTACAGGGGAGTTTCCAAAAGGGGAGAGCGTGCAGGCTTTCCACTGTTTCAGAACCCCATTCTGGTTCTGAGTGGTGTCTTCAGTAGACAAGTTTTGGGAAATGCTGGCATGGACACTTGACCTGGAGGGTGGACATGTGTTAGTCATCTTTGCATGATTGTGTCAAAATACCTGAGAAAATCAACTCAAAGAAGGATTTGTTTCCATGGTTATGTGGCTCCATCGTTTCTGGGCCCATATCATGGCTGAGGTGTGTGGTGGAGCACAGCTGCTCATCTTTTAGCAGAGAGAGACAGACAGAAAGAGCTAGGGACAAGGTATATCTTTCCAGGTCATGCCCTCAGTGACCTACTTCCTCTAACCAGATCCCCCCACCTCCTGGTTTCCACCACCTGCCAATAATGCCATCAAGTTGTGAATCCATCAACAAATTAGTCCACTGTTGAGGTCAGAACCCTCATCATCAATCAATTCCCAAAATTCCATCAGCTGGCAGCAGAGCCTTCAACATCTGAGCCTTTCTTGCGGGGGCACTTCAGAATCCAGCCAGCATACACAACCAATAGGGAATTCATTCAGCAAATGTACCACAGGCCCCTTTAGGGAAGTGATCCCTGTGCCTTCAGCGGGATGACCACTTGCTGTGCTGAAGCATCTGCAAACCAAAGAAAGGAGGGACCCCCCAGAGTGGTGGGATAAGGAGTGACAGTCACCTTTGAGAACAGGCAGGATTTTGCAGCTGTTGCATGAGATTCTGGGGAAAAGGCAGGTCCTCCAAGGGTCATTTGTTAGAAGGTCGATTGTGGCAAGACAGTAACACATCCTCTAGAGGATGTTTTGCATACATCCCCTCTAACCCTTGTGCTGACTTCTCCACCTTAGTATTAGTTACCCTACACATAAAAACCACTATTTAAGTGCAAGTAGTTTAAGTGACTTTCTCAAAGAAATAGACCAGGGGTAGGAGGCCACGATTGTACCCCACCCTCATCTGGTGAAGTGGCAGGGGGCAGCTGCTCCCAGATGGCTCCCTTTCCCTTCTCGGAAGCTTGGAGCTTATCCTGCAGGCAGCGGGGAGCTCCAATAGGTGGTCAGATGCCCTCTCTTCCCTGTGACCCAAAGCTGTGGTCACCCAACAAGTCCCATAGACCTGGGGCCCTGGAGGAGAATGGATTCAAGTTCCTGCCAGTGTGCTCAGACCAGGGGTGCTGCTCTGGACAGCTCTGGGGTCTGGTAGCTTAGGGTTGAGTCTTGAGCATAATGCTTACAAAGCACCTGTGGTTGAGGGTGGGTGTGACATGGCCTCCCCAAAGGGCATAGATGTGCCTCTCTCCTCTGGCTAATGAAGAGAGTAGGGAGAACCAGTGTAGGCCACTAGAAGCATGTGGGTTGCACAGAAAGACTAATGGGATGCCATGATGGAGGATGGCCTGACAATGCAGGAGATTCTAGGCAGCATGGTGCAGAGTAGACCAGAGTCCAGCAGTGGACAGGCAGGGGAGGACCTCCATTGATGGCCCAGGAGCACCGTATTTGAAGAAGGCTGCAATGGGATTAGGACAGCAGTGGTACCAATTAGTAGGCCTTAGAAGGGCTGGTGAACCCTTGTGATGGGGCGGAGCAAGTGTGATGGGCTGTGGAGACCGCCTTCCTCCATCCCTACCTACTGTGATCTCTACCATCGCAGAACCAAGGCAGCAGCAAATTGTAGGTGAACAAATGTGTGGCATGGTTGTGTTCACTAGAATTTGACTTGCACACAGATGGTGAACCCAATTTGGCCAGGGTTGTTGACTCTGCTCTGCCCCTAGTGTGGTTTAGCGGTTGATTGGTCCTACAGAGAGGGACGCACCCAGGTGAAATGGGGCCAGGAGGAAGGCATTGCCCATGCTGTCCATGAGGACTGGGTGGGCTTACAAGCTGATGACAGCAAGATTCCGGGCTTGTGCAGCACAGGTGCGTAAAGTGGTGAGGTGGGAGAGAAGCTCCTCGTCTTGCTTTTGAGAAGGGCAGGAACAGGGGAGGATAGTGCCCCTGGGTAAAACACTACATGTAGGAGGTTGGTTTTTTGCCGGGTGATGATTGTGAGCAAGATCGTTTGAGGTAGTTCTAGAACAAAGAAGCGAGGGTAGGAAGCAGTCCAACTAATAAGTTTGGGGCGGGGAGTGGTGGTGGAGCACCAGGTGTCAGGTTTTCCTGGTGGGTGGGGTTACAGGTGGAATTCAGGGAATCGCTGGTATTCAAGGAGGTGGTGACCCTCTGTTTCCTTCCAACTGGAGAAGGAATTACAAGGAAGAGGAGATGGAAGGGTTCTATCTGCTTCCCCCACACTGTCTTCCCTCCCTCTGGATCAGGGTGTCTTTCGTAAGATACCAGTTTGTCTAAACCCCATTACAGGTTTCTCACTGCTCTTAGGTACATTTTTGTTTTTAGCTCTTGCTATGTTGACTGGCAGCACTTGCATGTCTTTTTAGTGTAAGTTAAGTTTGTAGGGAAAGTGACCAGCTCACACTAATGCCCTTGACTTAGCAATGGGCTCGGTCTTGCACCATTTCTGTAGGGCATTTCATACATGATTCACTTTCTGTTTTTGCAGTGCAGGTGAGAGAACCCAGGGCCTGACGCATGCTAGGCAAGTGTTCTACCACTGAGCTACACCCGTAACCTCATACTTCACTTTTAAATGTGCTTTATTCAAAATGCAGAATAGTTTTTTTGTTTTCATTGGCTGGCAGTTGTCTTGCTGAGCTCTAGGTATTACTTGAAAAGAATTCTCACCAGCTCAGCTTCCTCCAACTCTGCACTGGTTACAGATGGATGAGAAGAGCAGAGGTGTAGGAATTTAAGGAAATAAAGGAAGAGTTATTGGCTAGCTGCTCTAGATAATTGTCTAATGTTCTGTCCTGAAAGTGACTGTATTGTAAAATTGACATATGATTAAATTCCAACAGTAAGGGAAAAGCTGGGGATATATTTTGTGTGGTAAATGACTGGTGATTTGTATTGTGCTTGATGGGTGACCAAACACTTCTACACACACTTTCCTATTGGACTTAGAAATTGTTTCTCTTTAGGTAGTTGGCAGAATGGACAAGACCTGCAAAATGCAATACAAGATGTTGGCCAGCCCTTTGGGGAAGATAGAGCTGTCCGGCTGTGAGCGAGGCCTGCATGGGATCAAGCTCCTTGGCAAGGGGAGCCCCAGCACTGAGTAAGTGCAAGTGCCTGGTGGGTGCTGAAAGCAGTTGGGGGAGGCACACATTGGTCACGGGTAACACAACCACAAACATTAGCACCACAGAAAACAGTCTGCCGATTGCCTTTAGGTGTTAGCGGTTTTGTCCCAGGCACCCTTCATTGTTGATTATGACACACCTTTCAGGGCAACTCCAGAGGTTTTATTGTTGTGCACTGTCACAGAGCTCTTGAGTGCCTGTGAGCACCGGGGATGACTGGAGATCTGGTGGCCAGCACTTGTGGGACCCCCTTGATGTTTTTCAAGCAGGACAGGCCTGCACTGTGTGTCAGGGCCACCAGGTGGGTCCATCTGCTGCTCCACATTTACCAGGGGCTCTGCTGCTTCCTGGGGGCGTCTTTCTGGGTCTGCGGGTGCAGCTGAACCCGACCTACAGGACTTAGGACCACTGTTTCCAAATAGCTGTGTGTCTCTCTGCATGCTCCTCAGAATATGTCTCTAACTGTAAAAGCATAAAAAAATTAAAGCCGTCCCTAGTACTTTGTTCTGAAATGTAACATTTAATTCTCCCCATTCATTGATTGTGCGTAGTTGTATTAAAATTGCAGTTCTTGTTATTTCTGATGGCAGGGAAAAAAACCCACCCACTCCTGTGCTCAGTGTTTGTCTTAACTGACTAATAAACACAATGCCAAGAACATTAGATAAAGAAAATACATAAGAAACATAAAAATTGATTTTAATGGACCCCTGTCAGAGATGGTCATAATGAGCACAGTGTAGTAATAAATATCCTTTGCCAGGCTTTTCCTGTAGAGCTGTGTGTTACAATCAATATCTTCTTTCTTAAGACTAAAAAATAAGCAAACCTTTGAACTATATGAATACGCTTCTCTCAGTTTCTATGAGAACCATCTGGCTGTGCTGTTCAGAAAATCACAGGCACCAAATAATTTGTAGGGGAAAATGTCACTTTGTCTCTTAGCGTGTTCAGTTGCACAATAAATCATAGAAGTTATGTACTGGGGTTTTTTCTTTCTCTAAAAGAAAAAAAAAAACAGACCTTACAGCAAATTTGAGAAAGAAAAAGTCAGAAACAGGCATTGTAAGATGCATTTGGTCAAGTGCGTGTCATGGGTCATGTGAACAAGTAAGGGGCTTAATTTTGAGTTTGTTCTACTTTATGAACTTTCTGTATCAAGGAGCAGAGTTGGCAGTGGACGCAGTCACCAAATAATGACCTGAATAAGAGGCAGCTAACTTTCCTCAGGAAGGAAGGCAAGCTCCTGGGTGAACGGTGGAGGCAGGGCTGGCCCAGAATGGTTTTCTGGGACTCACACACCATCCAGCTGTCCTCTGTTCTCCACTGAGGCTTCTGCCCTAGCCCTGGCACTGCAGGCTAGCTGGCTGCTGCAGGTGGAAGGAGCCAGAATGGAGGGAGTGCGCCTCCCAACAGCAGGCTCTTGTCCATGGCCCAGGACTCTGCAAGGAAGGATGGGCTGTTAGGCATGGCTGAGACTGGGCAGTCTGTGAGCGAGAGGTGGAAACTGGGCTTTTGGGACAAGCAGTGTGTGTGTATTAATTTGAGGGAGCACTTAAAAGCTTGAGACCAGTATAAAAACTATACTCAGAAGTAGCAGTTTTCAACATTTTTGTCATTTTAACAACTGAGGTAAAATTACATAGAGAAATTTAGATTTTGAGTGTACGAGCCAATGAGTTTTGACAAAAGCAAACACAGGTGCATAGATACCACCCCACTGAGATCCACAACACTCCAGACAGTTGCCTTGTGTCTCTTTAAAGTCCATCCCGCTGTGGGTCTGTGGTCAAGCCTCTCGTAGATCTCTGCTTTCCTTTCTCTTGAGTACAGTGGGGAATTACTGATTGGAATGGCAGATGTGTGTGTAACTTCTAAGAATTTGCCAGAATGTTTCCCAGAGTTGTTATTTCACATTTCCTCTAGCCACATATGAGAGGTTCAGTTGCTCCACCTCTTGCCAGTCCTTGGTGGTGTCCGTTTTTAACATTTTAGCTCATTGGGTGGGTGTGAAGGGTCATCTCATTCGTACTTGTGTTTTGCCCATTTTAAGGCATGTTTTCTTATGTTTGTTATTGTTCCTGGTTTGTGATTTTGCATATAAGTCCTTTGTCAGAGCTGTGGACTGTGATGTCTTTTCACAGTTCTTTGCATTTTCTTTTTCTAGTAGTTTCTTTTGATGAGAAGTTTTTAACTTCGAGGCAGTCAGTTCATTAATTTTCCCTTTCGCGTTTAGCAGTTTTTGTCTTTAAGAAATATTTGCCTGCTGTAATTTCATCAGTAGATTCTCCTATAATTCCTTTGTAGAAGCTTTATCCTTAGTTTTTTTGTGTTTAGATATGCTACCCATTTGGTACAGTTCATTTGCATACAAGTTCATTGTGAGGCACAGTTAATTTTTCTCATACAGTTATTTAGTAGTTTCATCACTTGTTGGAAAAGATTCCACAAACTTCCCGTTCTTCATTGGATTACCTTGGTGGTTATATTAGAACTCAGCTGGCCATGTGTAGGTGCTGTGCTGCGTGCTCTGTCCAGTTCCCTTATTTTTTGTTCCACACTGAGTTGGCCACAGAACTTTGCACAAAGTCTGGATCAAGTAGGACTAGTCCTCTGGCTGCTTTAAGATTGTTTTGCCTTCTAGGTTTCTTAATTTAGCATATTACCTCTAGAGTCAAGGTGGCCATTTTTGCAAACATGCTTCCTGGGATTTGACTGGGAGTTGTCTATTTCAGTTTTGGGCAGGTTGACATCTTCTCAATGTTGACTTGGTCAGTTTGAGATTTGACTTATCTCTGCGTTTGTTTGGGTTCTCTTTCATTTTCCTCAGCAGGCTTTGTAGTCTCCAGCATAGATACCTTGCATGTCTTTGGTAAGATTGATTTTTTTAACTACTTTGTTCTTGATAGTATTCCATGTATGCTTAAACTTTTTTAACTTTTAAATTATTGCTGCTGGTCATAACAATTGATTTTTGTATGTTGATCTTCCATCTGCAATCTTGGGTAAACTGATAAGCAGTACCCACCTCCCTTTCTGGTGGGTTCACTTTCCACTGTTTGTTACCCATGAGCAACTGGGCTCCAAAATATTAAATGGAAAATTCAAGAAAGAAACACTTCCCAAGTTTTAAGTTGATGCCATTCTGTGTAGAATAATGAAATCATGCTCTACCTCTGTCATGCTCATACACTTCTGTGAGTCCAGCATGTCCACTCTGTATATGTTTAGCTGTCTTGGTTATCACATTGACTGCTGAAATTATTCTAGGGCTTGTATTCAAGGACCGTCAGCCCCAAATCACAAGAGTAGTGAGCTGGGCAATGCAGGTACGTCAAAGAGAAGCTCTAAAGTATCCTTTAAGTATCCTGCATCATGACAGGGAGAAGGGTGAGACTTTTTCTCTTCTCGTTATCTTCTAAACAATGCTTCAAAACAACTCTTCATGTCCCATTTACAGAGTATTAGGTATTAGAAGCAATCTAGAGGTGATTTGTGGTATTAGGGAAGGTGTGCATAGTTACATGCAAACACCACACCACTTCATACCAGGGGCTTGAGTTGGGTTTTAGTGTCCTTGTGGTCCCAAAACCAGTGTCCTTGGGAGACAGGGAAAGACAACTCTATTTCTAGGGGTTGTTGTTCAATTCTGTAGGGTTTTCTGTGTAAAAACCACTATCTGTGCATAGAGATGATATGCTTCTCCCTTTGCGATCTTTATGCCTTTTACTTGTGCTGTTGAACCTACCAGTTTGACTTTCAGTAAACACTGTGTCAGTGGACATCCTGGCTCTAGAAATGGGGTGCTTCCAGTATTTCTCCAGTCAGGGCAACACTATTAGGCTTTCTGTGTGTCCTTCCTTAGACTGAGAACCTGAGAACAGTCCTGCAACTTGCTGGAGTTTGTCACACGGTTTCTGTGTGTACTGACACAGCCACGTGATTTTTTTCTCCTTTATATGTTAAATGTGATATATGTTAAGTTTTGAATGTTAAACTAATTCTGAAAGGTTGGGCTGTGTCCCTTTGAGCCACTTTATTTATTTTATGTGTATAAATGTCTTTGTCACAGTTTAGAATCAGGGTTGTTCTGATGACATGGTAGGAGTTTGGAAGCTTTCGTTTTGTTTTCTGAAAGTGTAATGTGTGGAATTGGTGTTACTGATTCCCTTGAACTGTTGGATGAATTCACCTGTGATGCTGGCTGGATTTGGTGCTTGTTCTTAGAGCTCCTTCTGTAACAATCAGGTGCTGCCATCGTCTACCTCTAGGACTCCTACCCCACTCCTGCTTTGCTCTCAGAAGGCTCCCCTGGATGCTGACCAAGGGGATCCCTAGGGGATCTTGAGCAGACCATCCTCCTGTTGCCCTTTATTTCCTCCAAAGCCCTGTTGCTTCCTTTGGTAGGTAAATTAAAGGCTGGCCACTGATGCCTGTCTTCAGTGAGATTGCCTGTGCTACTGTATAAGTCTGATCCCTGTTCCCACATCAGTCCCTTTACCTGCACCTGTGGCTTTACCTGTGCCCTGGCTTTACCTGTACCTGTACCTATGACTTTACCTGGTGATTTCTCTCTTGTATACGTTGCATACGTTGCATTAATTGCTCATCTTTCTCTTCCTAAAATATTTGGGTGAAGAGCATAAATATTTGGGTGAAGAGCATCAGTTTGTAAGGCAGTACAATGGTTTTCATTTAATAACTTCCTGCCTGCATCAAGTTTCTACTAATGACTGTCATATGTAAGAGAACTTGGCCTTGCAAAAGCTGACCAGTTTCCCCTGTGCCATTTTCTGTGGCTACAGGGCCTTGACCTCGTCAGTATGCCCTGCAATGTCTAGATTTAGTGAGAAGGGTTGTGGCATATGTTTATTCTCCTAATGTTATTTTGAGGCTTGTTTAGTGTTCCATAAAGTTGACTGCAGTGTTTAATTACTTGAAAGAATGGACTGTAGGCCCTGGGTCATACTTAACA